TTTGCCCCCCGTTTTTCCTGCTTTTCTTCTCTCTATCTGGTGTCTCTCTATCTTTCTTTATCTCTTCTTCTCTTTTCTGGAAGAGATAGGAGCTAAAAGGCATCTTAGAAAAGGGAGGAGGGGCCTGGCCGAAGGAATGAAAAGAGAAGAGGACACAGAATAGAATAAGAAGGACGCATTTTCCTTCTTTTGCTCTTCCTTTCCGAGTCTTCGCATAACTATTAGCCACCCCATCATCACTTCTTCTTCTACGTTTTTCTCGGCTTTTCTTTCTTCCTCCTCTTGGAATTTTTTCACAGGGATCGAGGCACTTTGAGAGATAGACAAAGGGACCCATTCCAAGATTTTTACGATTACTACGATTAGCTTTAATTCTTCGTTTTTTTTCAACTTTGGTCGAACAGAAAAAAACAGTATGAGTGGGAACTAATTTCGAGTCAAAGCTTTAGAATTGGCTCTCTGATAAAAAAAAAAGGATTCCCAAAAATTACTAATATGGCTAATTATTATTCAAAAGAGTTTGGTAGGTCAATGGTACAAAACAAATCGAAGCTGCTGACCAGAAACGTTGGTTGCCGAATGTCCCATAACGACAACCACCGTAACTTAAGCATATTGTTTTTAATTCTTCGAATTTATTTTTCAATTTGTGCTGCTTTTTGACCGATTTTAGCACATTTTCCTCCAGAAAACTCGACAAATAAAATTTTTTGACAAAATCGAGATAAAAAATCTGGAAAATGAAAATATTTTAGGTTACGGTAGTTGTCGTTGTGGGACCTTCGGACGCGGCCACCAAAAATTCTCTTCCACAGCTCTGACTTTTTTGTACCAGAATAATAAATTTACGATAATTTTTGCTGAAAATTAAAAAGAATTCTGTATGAAACGAATTCCAGTTATGACAGTATCTCTTACACCATTTTTTGTAGTCCAAGTTCTGATTGTAAATATTCGTTAAATGTAACCTCCAAACCTCTTCTTTCTTTTCTTAAACTCCAAAATGAAATTTTCCAGTTTTTTAGATGTGGTACTATCGTCTCACAACACTTTTGCTTATCATGTCAACTCTTCAAACAGTTCGTTCAAAACGAAAATTAAAGGAACAAGAGATAATTCAACGAATTCTCAAAGATTATGATTGGAGAGTGAGACCAAGAGGAATGAATGCAACATGGCCAGGTGAATTTTGACTTCAGAATCCAAAAATGTGCACCTTCTGAATGGTTATTTTGGAGCTCAAATTCCTGTTATTTTTTCTCCTCAAAGACAGTTTTTCAGATACTGGTGGTCCTGTACTGGTGACTGTGAACATTTATTTACGATCTATATCCAAAATAGATGATGTAAATATGGAATACAGTGCACAATTCACATTTAGAGAAGAATGGACCGATCAACGATTGGCCTATGAGAGATATGAGGAATCTGGAGACACTGAGGTAACCCTTATTTTATAGAAATTAATTTTTACGCGGGGATTACTGTAGCTTCTTCATCCTCAAGTTGTCTCCTCTTTCTTTACCCTCTCTCCGTCATATCCCACACTATTTTTTTGGTTCCATTGAAAAAGTAATGAAACAACCAACATTTTTTTGGTGAATAAAAAGGAGACGACAACCTTTTTGTCATTGAAAAGATTCTGAGATTTTAGTTTGTGTGCTCTTACTCTTGTCGCAAAGTGGGGTGCTCTCTGAAAAGAAAATGAAATAGAAGAAGAAGAAAGTAGAAGTAGGAAAAAGACTAGAAAAGAAGAAGAAAGAATACAAATTGGATTTAACGGATTTTGGAGAGAGGAAAGAGAGGACTTTCCGATGAAAAGGGTCAAAAGAAGTGTGTGGACACAAAAAGTTTGGATAAGGAGATGTTGATAGAATGGGGGAGTTCGAAAGTTAGGAGTTCGAAAGCACACCGAGTCGCTAACTTTGAGCCCATATATCTCGGCTCCTGTCGAAGATATCAAAAAGTAATTAACTGACAAAATGTTTATCATAATATTATAAATATTTTGTCTGTTGACCACTTTTAGATATCTCTCACAGGATCCGAGATATATAAGATCAAAGTGAATAGATTGGGTGGATTTCTATTAGAGTGCTTACGGTATCTGTCAACACAGAGATTCTGAAAAACTACTCCAGCGGAAAAAAAAACATTTGTTCTGAAAATCCTCAAATTGAAGACAGAAACTTGGTTTTCAGTTTTTAAGATTTCAAATCTTTCTTGAGGTATTGAAGTTTCCTAACCATCTAATCCCAATTGCATCAATTCCAGGTTCCTCCATTCGTCGTGCTTGCCACATCTGAAAACGCAGACCAATCTCAACAAATTTGGATGCCTGACACCTTTTTCCAAAACGAAAAGTTAGTTTTTAAACCCACTTTCTCCTCTTCTACAACATGAAATTTTCATTATCTTTTCGTTTTTTACTTTCTTTCTTTTCTTTTTCTTTTCACCCCGCAAAAATGACACATTTTTTCGGTTTTTGCGTGTCAGAACCACTATTAGCAAAAACGAAAAAAACGGAATTTACGATTTTTTTCTTCTTTTTTTTCCTAAGAAGAACAAAAGCAACGCATTCGTTTTTCACACATTTTTTTGAGGGGTGAATGGAAAATAATTGAATTTTGAAAAGCAAAATTAGATAAACACACACTGTTTTTATAGAAAAAATCCATCATAATCCGTTAATTTTTGAAAACAATATGAGTGAAAAAAATTGAAAAATCTAGCCATATGACTCTGTTTATAAATATTTGAATTTGGAATCAGCAATTGCTTGGAGAGGGATTTTCGAAACAGGGATATGTCGTATTAAAGTGCATAAAAGTTGAGTAGAGCGTCGTACTGAGCTCAAATTTGAAGTGCACATCTTCCAAAAATTGATAAGTAAACTGACCAAATTTCAAACGATTCCATCAACTTTGAGCTGAGCTGTCGCTTGTCAAAGTTGCTTTATCTTATGAAAATCACAAGGAAACATTACACCTTTAATATTTAGATAATCATAACAATACCTAGACTTGAGGGATCGCTTTGAAAATTTCAGTAGCTTTGAATTAAATGTAAAGTTATATTTCACCCAATTTTCGTGCTTCCAAGATACATATTCCTAAGGATATACCCTTTTTTATCAGTCCTGGTAATTGTGCATTGTTTCAGAGAGGCTCGACGACATTTAATCGACAAGCCAAATGTGCTCATCCGAATTCATAAAAACGGTCAAATCCTGTATTCCGTTAGGTCCGATTTGCAGATTTTCTTTCAATAAATCCAAATTTTCAGACTATCCCTAGTTTTGTCTTGCCCCATGTCACTCGAATTTTACCCGCTTGATCGACAGAATTGTCTTATAGACTTGGCTTCCTGTAAGTTTTTTTTTTAATTTCAGAATTATAAGTTCTAATTTTCAGATGCCTACACAACTCAAGATATTAAATATGAATGGAAGAATACAAAGCCGATTCAACAAAAAGATGGTCTTCGTCAATCGCTTCCATCGTTTGAACTTCAAGATGTCGTAACGGATTACTGTACCTCTTTAACTAATACAGGTACCGTAATCCTTTTTGCTTGAAGAGCTTGCTCTTGTCCTAATCTCATCTCCCCCAATTGTCACTTTTTATAACGCTTTTTGTCATTTGTTCAGGCGAATATTCATGTCTACGTACACGTATGGTCCTCCGTCGAGAGTTCAGTTACTACCTACTTCAGGTGTCTTTTGTCTTGTCCTTCTTGAAACTAATCTTGTCCCTTTTTGTCCATTTTCAGCTTTATATTCCAAGTTTTATGCTTGTTATCGTTTCTTGGGTCTCGTTTTGGCTAGATAAGGATTCGGTTCCCGCCAGAGTTACACTAGGTTAGTTTGGTTTTCATTAAATATTTTTTCATACTAAAATTGAAGAAAAAATATAAAATTCCAGGAGTGACGACTCTGCTAACAATGACAACTCAAAGTTCTGGTATCAATGCAAAACTGCCTCCAGTCAGTTATACAAAAGCCATTGATGTCTGGATCGGTGTATGTTTGGCATTCATTTTTGGAGCATTGCTGGAGTTCGCTCTGGTGAACTATGCGGCTCGTAAAGATATGACTCAGGTCTCACAACGAATTGTGAGTGGAAAAATGTTACCGTACTGAAAATTGAATTCAGAGGCAAATGAAACAGTTGCCAACTGATGGATACCGGCCATTGTCTGCGTCTCAAGGAAGATCATCGTTCTGTTGTCGGATCTTTGTGAGAAGATACAAAGAACGCTCGAAACGAATAGATGTCGTTTCTCGATTGGTGAGTTTTTTGAGTTTTATTCTTATGCCATGTCCAAAGTTCCCAAATCTGGGATTCCTGGGCTCAGAAAGCAGTAAAAAGTGAAGATTCCAAAGATTTCCAATTTTCACAGTTGAAACCAGCGCGAAAGTATACCTAGCGCATCGAGACCGGAAGAAAACATATTTTACACAAAAAAAACAATTTTTAAAAATCCTCGTAAAACGGTACTAATTTTTGGGGGCCTCGACGTGCTAGGACGCACTTTGGACTGCTTTCTGGGCCCAGAAATCTCAGATTTGGAAACTTTGGACGCGGCACAATCAACCCAGTCTACCTCTGCCTCTGATGCACCATTTGTTTGATTCGAGGAGAGGAGCAGGCCTATCGCTAAAATTCAGCTCTTCAAAGTTCTTTATTCCAACTCACCTATTTTTCAGGTCTTCCCAATCGGCTACGCATGCTTCAATGGTACATGAGCCCCAATTACTGTTTATATGTTAACCTAATGTTTTCTCTTTTTCAGTGCTTTACTGGGCCGTCTACCTAATGTGATTGAAATGCGTGTGCCAATTTTATAACTATTTTATTGATCTCTACCCCTCTGTGTCAATTTTTGAATGTGCCTTCCCTTTTTGTCAGTTTTTTTCTGAATTTATAGATGTTTTGTGGACCAGATTACTTTTAGGTGAATACAGCTGTGCACGGGTTGTATTGAAACTTCGTAGAGAATACAGTTACTACCTCATTCAACTATATATTCCATGCATTATGCTTGTCGTCGTTTCATGGGTCTCATTTTGGCTGGATAAGGTGAGTCTCAAGAGAGGAAGAGCTACAGTAATCCTTTTCTTCATTTTCAGGATGCAGTGCCAGCTCGAGTGTCGCTGGGAGTCACAACATTGCTAACAATGACAACTCAAGCGAGTGGTATCAATTCCAAACTTCCGCCAGTTTCTTATATTAAAGTAGGTTTTTTTAAATATTTTGTTTTTTTAAATAATCCCATTTTCTTCATAGGCTGTTGACGTATGGATTGGAGTATGTCTTGCATTCATTTTTGGAGCTCTGCTCGAGTACGCAGTTGTCAATTACTACGGTAGAAAGGAATTTAATGATCAAGTAGGTTCTTTTTTGGAAATATGACACATTTGGAGAGAAATTTGAAACCGGCTAGGAATATTATAGATTTTTGATAATTGGTGTCAAATTGTTTCAGAAGAAAAAAGGAGGAATTGGTGATTGTGTATGTCCGCCGGGCCAACGATCAACTCGTCTCGATTCATCATCGTATATAGGTGTAGGGAGAATTGCGATCGTTAAAAGGATACGTGAGCTGCTATCAGTGAAAATGAAAATATCTCGAAAAGTGGATTTAATGTCTCGACTGACATTTCCACTTACATTTTTCTCTTTTTTAGGTAAGAATCAATTTGAAATACAACCAATATCTCTTTTTCAGTGTTCTACTATCAGGCGTATGTAAAACAGAGTCGGGATTGATTGCTGGTTATATTCATTTCTATTATGTTTTTTTCTTGTTACTTTATGTTTTATTTAAGAACAACCATGACAATTCAGTTTTTGTAAATATCAGTATTTTATGAATTACTTGTTGTTGTTTTCAAAGCTTTCTTCAAGTTTTTATTGGGCTACTGAGCAAAAGAAAAACAATCAAAAAGTTCGAACCTGGAGTTTTTTTGTGAGAAGAAACTCTGAGAGAATGGAATCCAAATCATCTGATTGGGCCCCATATAGCTCGTTTCCTGTAAAATATATCAAGAAGTATTTAACTGACAAAATGTTTATCATAATATAGAAAATATTTTGTTAGTTGATAGTTTTCTGATATCTTCCACAGGAACCTAGATAAATTTGCTCAAAGTCGAAAGTACTGAATTCCAGCTTTACTTGAAAGCAACATCCTATCGGTTTTTGCTATGCTCGTGTTCATTTCATCCATCCTCAATTTTCTGAATCCTTAAAGGATATAGGGCAAGAGATTTTTCGATGTTTTTTGAGCTAGGGTATGCATTCTGCATTAACGGTGTACTGTCTATTCAATAAAGCCCCTTTTTGAAACGCGTGAGAAGAGGAAAAAGGGAACGCGTTTCAAAAAGGGGCGTATCACTTTGCAACATGCGGCGCGCCCACGTTTTATTGAATAGACAGTACAATGCTAGTTAGCACTACGAATACAGTTATCGTGCTCGCATGTTATCCGCCGTCCGCTAAAGCTTTGCCCGCGTGGCTCAGTCAGTAGCGAAGCTGCTTCTGCAAAAAAACATTTCACAAGTTCAACTCCTTAGGAGAACTCGAGATATTAGATGATTCAAAGTTTTCATGAAAGCGTTTATTCAAATTATTCTTCACAGGTGATTCGTGATTGACCAATTATAGAAGAAGGGCTATAATCGACCAATTACTTATCTACCGCGAACGAGAGGTTCTACAATTGACCATTCGCGAGCAAAATGCGTATCTTACTAACTGGCCCTATAAAAGGTCCACAATTGAACAATCGTGAAGAAATTCTTGTTTTTTTATTTTCCGAACTTCTTTTTCTTATTTTGGATACTTTACTTCTTTTTTCGCCGCCGTTTTCTTCGCAGTTTTTGTTCGGAATCTATTAATTAACATATAATACTATACTAGAATACTGTATAACCATGAATGTATCGTTTTGTTTGCAGAAAAATAGAGAAAATGGCCGGAAGACAAAAGTCGGAAGCAAGAAGCCGAAATTTCGAAAACTCTGGAAGAAGCATTGCTTCTGTCCTTTCAAAAGGTAAAAAGCGTCCAGAAAATCCGAAGTTTTAATCTAATTTTTACAGGGTGCCAGAAAATCTCAATTTTCCTGTATGTCGACTGGGCACTCCGGAAAAATGCAAATGAGAATGAGGAAGGAAAAAGTTCTGGAACAGTGGGTAAATTTGAAAACGAATATCAGAGAAAAAAGTTGATTTCAGACGGAAGTGTTAAGTTCGCGGATTTCGAAAAAAATGTCCAGTCGATAACTTGTGTCAGAGGTATAGTACAAAAAGAATTGGGAGCTTAAAATCTAGATAATTCATTTCAGTTACTTCGAAACAACAATCAACATCATCTTCTGCTCATCGTCATCGACTGAGGCAAAAATGGACAAAACGAGAAGCTCCGATGCCGTTTCAGCCAGTTCGACAACAGCGGAAGAGAATAATATAACTTTTAATTAATTGTTTTTTCGCTTTTCATTGTTTTTTCTGTGTAATAAACAATTTTTAGCAGCTGCTAGCTTCCAGATTCGAAACAATATATGCCAATTAATGCTCTCGCGTCAAGCCAATCGTAGGAGATTTGCTCGCGATAGGGCGAATATTGGTCGTTTGCGGTGGCGCGTTCGCGATTGGTCTGTAAATGGCCTGCGGCAGGCATGTTCCGATGTACCCATGGCGACTTTCCGAGAACAATATTCACTTTTATAGACGCTGCGCGAATCACGTGTGATTGCAACTACACAGCAGCAAGTGAAACATTTAAGTTGTCTTTTATTGATCCACAACGACTGTAATCCTTGGAACATTCCTGTGCCGATTGATCCCAAACCGTTCCTTTTTCACATTCTTTAAGTTAGCATCTTCCTAAAACAAGATTTCAAATTACATTGAAAACATTCAAGACTCCTACCATCAGTACATTTGTAATAATTGGCACAAAAATAAGGATGCGGTTTGAAACTAGAAGGTGACTCTGATGAGGAATGAACAGGAAGAGCTGGTGTAGCAACGGCTAGAAGACTACATTTTTCAGTTTGAATATCGAAAAATTCGTCGGGTTCACAACACTTTCCCATTTGAAAAACACCATCTTCTCCACATTCGGAATAACACGATCTTTGGAAAATATCTAATAGTTTCTTTCCAGGTGCGCATTTTTCGAATATTGGTTCCACTGTTTGGAATTGTAAAATTGCACATTTTCCATTCTAAAAACGTCAAAATCGTAATATATAAATTTGACTTACAGTACTCCAATATAAACTAGGTCATCAGGACAGCTTATCGGATACAATTCATGGTCAATACACATTCCAAACATTCGCATATCTTGTTCATTTTTCAAATAAAGTTCTGGACCTGAGCATGAGTAATGTTGGGTTTCTGAAAATGAAATTCTAGATTCTTTCTGTTTTTTCACTGAAAAATCATACCAGTAATAACCGGAGATTGTGCATGGGAATGTATGAAAAAGACAAAAATAGGAAGAATGCTAGTTTCAACATTGTTCTTGTACAAATTCTCATGTTTCACAGATTACTTTTATATCAATTTTTTATTACTTTGTGACTGCGTTTTTTTCTTTGTATTGACACATTTATTATGAGTAATATTTTGCCGGTTTTTTCCAAGGGAAAACCCAGACGTTACCCGACAAATTTTTTACAAGAATTAATCTTTTGGGTTCTATCTGAGTTTAGTGGGCTTTGTGAGTTTTTGTAAGCCCCATAGGTTTCAATGGTCCCATGGGATTTTATTGGGCCCAGGCGATTTTTGTTGTCGATGAATGATGATTTTTCTTCGGAACTTCTTCAGCGCTAACATTTTGGAGGATGTTAAACAGAGCTAGATTGACACCTGTTTTTTTCACTGTTTCAGTACAAAATCCGATCATGAAGGGTTTCTTTCAGAAATCGAAAAATAGCTGGAAAACTAGGAATTTTTTTAAAATTCCTGTGAATACAAAGTATGCACTCTCGGTCTGTTTTGCACCTTCCAAAATTTTCAAAACGATCGGAAGATTAACAGCCAAGCTCCAGACTTCTCAAGATGGGCAAAACAGTCGAAAAAAATGATTTCTGTAAATCTCAATGAGCGGTATTGTGTTTAGGTTTGGATGTTCTGGATAGAAAACAAAAAATATATTTTTATGCTTCAGATTTTTAATTAATTAATAGAGGATCAGACCCAAAATTCAGCCCGCGAAGGCATGGCTTCAGCGCAAGGCAGTAGTCGTCAGAAGAACTCTTTCGTCTACCTTAAGCCTTCAATGCGAACCCGCTTTGGCCATCCTTCTCGCTCAGAGAATGGATTAGAGTTCTCATCAACTCCTCTGTCTACCCGTCGCTGCGCGCCACTGAGACGCCTAGTTTCGCAGCAGCCGACATTTCCCGGGTTCCGCCGCCCGCTATGTTTTGCGTGCGCCGAGACTCCGCCCACTTTTGTCACAATATTCGCAGGTTTCGCCCTGTCTTTCAAACGATTCAGTCACTTTTTCTATCGATCCAATGCGAAAAATAATGATTTGTTTGATAATAAATTTATTGAGTTGATAAATGAAACAGAACAATTAACAATGGGTGTAAAAATGCAGTTATACACGATTTTTAGTTATCGTCGGAAGTTTCTTGACGGCGTGGTTTCAATGCGAAAATCTTGACTGGATAAATTTCTTTCGGGAATCCAGTTTGTATCGTTTTGACCACCATATCAAGATCTGCCCCATTGAACGCTTCCATTAGTTCTGGCTGAAAAAAAATCCATTTTATTATGCTTGTCTGAGAAAAAAAGGTTGAGAAGCAGAGAAAAAGTGTCTGCGTCTCCACCGTTTGTGTGCTCTTTAGGCTCTCCGCTTCGATATCGCTACCGTATTCAGACTGCAAAAAATACTCTCTAACCTTTTTTTTTCAGACAAGCATAATAACAGGAAAATCATGAGAATAAATTCACCTCCGTTCTCGTCCAGCTATGATCTTCATCGTCGAATAATCGCTTTTCGTGATTCGTTACATTGTCCTTGAGCACAATGCAACCGCCTGGTTTCAGTCCTTTCTATAAATTATTTTGTTTGCTTCTATTATAGATCACTAGCTTCTTACCACACATCGCTTGAAGAAAGCAACGAGATCTTCATCGACCAAGTGTCCTGACACCCACTGAATCCAAATGAGATCGTAACGTCTTTCTGGAGGAGCGAACGTCTGAATTCCTTCGATGAACTTTTCTCCAATCCGTGGATCTGAACCAATGTATTGTTCACTGCTGACGATTAGTTCTTCGACGAGATCTTCCATATCGACTTTCTTGAATAGTGGCATCAGAAGATGTTTTGTGACACGTCCGATTCCTGCACCACAGTCCAATGCGTAATCGTATGATCCGAAGAGATTCTGCAAAAAGAAGAATGTGAAGATCTTCATTCATGTCAATCATCTAGTCTCCCATAATGTCAATCTCATATATTTCATGCAACTTTTATTCGGAAAAGGTGCATACGCGGCTCATAAATTTCTTCCATCATTCACTTTTGAGGAAAAGAATAGTGACATTTCGTATGAATCCCGTTATAAAAAAAACTCTCCGGACTTTTTTCCACTCCTGCCCCAGCACTGATTTTCCAAAAATTCTAAAAGCGTTATACCGAAAAATGGAAGGAGGGTAACAAAAGCGCCCGGAATTCGTCATATGCAAACAGAGCAGAAGAATATTCTGTGAAAAACAACGAAAATGGGGATGATATTGGAAATCGAGAAGGAAACAAAGGGAATTGTTTTCTCAATACAAAGTTTCTCATTTATTGGAATCTTGGAAAAAGGTGGAATTTGGAGAAAAATATTCTTGGGTGTGGAAATGAGAAAATAGTTTATTGCTATCAAATTGAAACCTAAAACGCATTTATAATGAATTTCAGAATGTATTCTTAGAAATGCTTCCAACAAATATTTAAATCCATTTCAGATTCGTTAAAGGAGGCCAGACACCAAAAAAAGATTTCCTGATATTTTGCATAGAGAACCCCCATGAGGGGTTGAACTCACGACAGGCAGCTCAGGGGTACAGAGCCGCTACCGGAACAGGTGATTCGTGATTGACCAATTACAGAAGAAGGGCTATAATCGACCAATTACTATCTACCGCGAACGAGAGGTTCTACAATTGACCATTCGCGAGCAAAATGCGTATCTTACTAACTGGCCCTATAAAAGGTCCACAATTGAACAATCGCGAAGAAATTCTTGTTTTTTTTATTTTCCGAACTTCTTTTTCTTATTTTGGATACTTTACTTCTTTTTTCGCCGCCGTTTTCTTCGCAGTTTTTGTTCGGAATCTTTTAATTAACATATAATACTATACTAGAATACTGTATAACCATGAATGTATCGTTTTGTTTGCAGAAAAATAGAGAAAATGGCCGGAAGACAAAAGTCGGAAGCAAGAAGCCGAAATTTCGAAAAACTCTGGAAGAAGCATTGCTTCTGTCCTTTCAAAAGGTAAAAAGCGTCCAGAAAATCTGAATTTTTAATCTAATTTTTACAGGGTGCCAGAAAATCTCAATTTTCCTGTATGTCGACTGGGCACTCCGGAAAAATGCAAATGAGAATGAGGAAGGAAAAAGTTCTGGGACAGTGGGTAAATTTGAAAACGAATATCAGAGAAAAAAGTTGATTTCAGACGGAAGTGTTAAGTTCGCGGATTTCGAAAAAAATGTCCAGTCGATAACTTGTGTCAGAGGTATAGTACAAAAAGAATTGGGAGCTTAAAATCTAGATAATTCATTTCAGTTACTTCGAAACAACAACCAACATCATCTTCTGCTAGCTTCCAGATTCGAAACAATATATGCCAATTATTGCTCTCGCGTCAAGCCAATCGTAGGAGATTTGCTCGCGATAGGGCGAATATTGGTCGTTTGCGGTGGTGCGTTCGCGATTGGTCTGTGGATGGCCTGCGGCAGGCATGTTCCGATGTACCCATGTCGACTTTCCGCGGACAATATTTCACCTATTATAGACGCTGCGCGAATCACCTGTGGCCGGCTGAGCTACGGGGGCGCGAAGGCGCCTGACGACCGATGGTCTACATAAGCGCGGCGCGATTTCGTCCCCCGAAATTTTTGCTGTCTCGCCTCCTTTAAATCATCAACTCGTGGCTTTATTAAAACTACGCCTACTTTTTTCCTCTCGAATAATTTCAGGGACAAGAACAGTTTTCGTTTCATTGATCACTGCTTTTCAGATTTTAAAGGTTAAATCAAAAGAACTTTGATGCCGAAATTGAAGATTGAACAATTCCTAAACTAGAGATCCTTTTTAAGATTTTCGATCATCCGAATATAAAACTGGGCGAAAAAGAGGCCATAGTGAGATCAGAGTTGCACCGGAAGCTGGTAAACTTCCGAGAAAAAAAACCTTCAAATTGGGGAACCTATTGCATTCAGAAAACTAACCCGTTTTTTCAAACCCTCGATGAATCGTTTTGACACTGTGATATCTGGAGTGTGAAGTGTTTCAAATCCACCCAGCATTCCATTGACATCTTGACTTGCTCGACTCCAGTATTCTTCAGCCTGAAATAAGAAATGGAAAATTAGAATAAATAATATTTTCATAAATCTTAAATCAACCTTTTCATACACATCGTTTCCATTGTGTAGTCTGGAACTCATCTTGACAGCTGACGTCGTCGTTGCTCCTTGGAATCTGGAGACTTTCAAGAAGAGGGCGGGTGAGGAGAAGAATGAAATTATGAATCTGTAATATTGGAAAAGTTAATGGGATAATGAAACAAAGATTATAAGGGAATTTAGTGAGAAAAGGATTCGACAATAAGGAGAAAGTACAAAGTCAGATCTGAAATATTCCGAAAAAGGTTTCATGTTCCCATGTTTTCAATGCCCCCTTTCGCCCTTTGCTCGACCTCCGACCTATAGGTTGACTCTGATGTCTAGAATTTCATAACCAAAAAGCATCATCAGAAAAAACAACGCAGAAACCCATAAAAATTGCCCTCTATTCTTCTCGACACCAATTTCAAATCAAAACTCTCTCCCTCACCTGCTCGCATTTCTTTCCCACATAAAACCCAACTCTCTCATTTCATTTCATTTTTTCAACCCCCGTCCATCTCTGGCTTGTATCAACTGATAACACATGATAGCACCATTTCCTGCACAGTCCTTTTCAATTTTAGCGCATCGAAACTTTCAAAATCATCGGCTCCCTTCGAGCTTCGAGTGTTGATGACGTCACATCTTCTTTTTGTCAGTTTTGATTATCCTCATGTTCCTCAAAGGCGCAGAGGTCAAAAATGGTCATCTTTTCTCCGCCCCAAAAGTGTATATTTTCGTTGCTCCTCACACAACTCGTGACTCTTCTTTCCTCCTTTCCACACTTTTTCATCATATCTCGTCATTAGGCCCAGTGAGCCGAATCCTTATCCCGACTCCGCCCCTTTTCGTAAAGTAGGCGTGGCTTTAACTCGGGGGCTCCTGACGCTCCAGAGCTCATTTTAGCCGTCAGTAGCCCCCTGACCGACGCCACCCGAATTTCTTTGATCTCAATCAAAGAAATCCCAATCGTGTACGAACTTCTGGTTCTCTTTTGAAAATTAATAAGTTTTATTACAGTAAGCCTGCCAACACCTTCATTATGAAGCTTCTAATTTTGCTTTCTTGTGTCGCCGCAGTTGTTGTTTTTGGTGAGTTAGGGCTTACTTGTATCTTTGTTAATATTTCATCTTTCCCATTACGAAGAATCATCTTCCTAACTATTTTTCAAGACGTTTGAATCGAAGTTGAAACATTGCTCATTTCTTAGTTAGCATTCAACGGGCAAGAATCATTAAGTTTGATCAAAAAAGTTAGTTATGTAAAGTATATCAAAGAACTTCTTAGGACTTTTAGAAAAAGGTTGCGAGCCCACTTATCTAGTCTAGCCGAGTGCCCCATCGTCAACGCACCTTCAGTGAAGCGCAAAGATCTAGAAAGACCGATTGCGTGTACCGAGCACTCTCTGATCACTTAAATCGCCATTCCTATCCTTCCTCCCACACTCTTTTTTTTTCTAGGTCCATCATTGAGCACTCTCACGGAAAGGCACTAGTGCCTGACTAATGGGATTAGAATTTTTGACCGGAAAAAAAATGGGACGGATGGGCAGTGTAGTTGGGATGAAAGAGTAACAAATGGGGATAGACTTGGTGATCAGATCATTGATGTCACTCTGAATCCAAAATGAGTAGACGAATCTAGACATAAATCTTTCTTCGACTTCTCTAGAAACTTCGAGAAGCATTCCGAGAAAAATGCACTTGAAAACTCAATTATTTCTGACCTACTTGAAAGTCAGAATATATGAGAACATCCTTGTTCCTAGGATTACATTCCGTCTTGAAGGGCTTAAAAAATACAGTTACTATTAATGAAAAATATATTCCAGCTGCTCCATCGGCTCCAGGACTCGAGGAGAAGCTTCGTGCACTCCAGGAGCAGCTTTACAATATTGAGAAGGAGAATGGAGTTGACGTGAAAGTAGGCGATTCAGAGGAATTGCTTCTAATTGCAATCATATTTTCAGCAGCAACAACCGGCTGAAAGAGATACTTTTCTCGGATTCGTTCCACAAAAGAGAATGGTCGCCTGGCAGCCAATGAAGAGATCGATGGTTAACGAAGACTCGAGAGCCACACGTAAGTCAGATTATGTTTTGGAGATTCCAACATAGTGTTGTTTTCTTCTCATCAAAAGAAGCATGTTGTTGATTTGCTTATTTGACAATTCCAACCCGGAATGGGTACTTTCCTGCGTCATTCTCTCTCTTATCTCTTCAAAAAAGTGTGTTTGAACATTCAGTCGTCATTTGAAAGACAATAAGAATCGATGAGAGCAGAGTTGAGAAATATGGGGAAACGAGACAACTATATGCGAAATATAAAGTGATTATGAGTGGTTTTTATAGGGAGGTTTCGCGAAGGAATGACAGTTATTTGAGAAGCAATAAATAGGTCATTGAAGCAAAACGTGACATGAAAAACCATGATTATTTCAGTTCTCCATGCCATCGAAGCTCGTCTTGCCGAGGTTCTTCGTGCCGGTGAGCGCCTCGGAGTCAATCCAGAAGAGGTTTTGGCCGATCTTCGTGGACGTAACCAATTCCAATAAATTAACTACTATCCCTGTTTTTCCCCCAACATCTTAACAACCGAAAATAGGGAATCGATTATTGTTCTTCTTGGCTTCTTCAATTTCTAATAAAAATGGCTCCTCTCGACAAAAGACAACAGTTTTCCTAACTTTCACTCTCTTTCATCTCATATATGCAGTTAAATTTTAATCGCGATTTTATGACTATTTTTTTTTCAAAAACGAAAACGGATGTGATTATGATGTTCTTGGATTCATTTACAACTGAATAAACTCAGTGTGTTGACAACTTTCTTTTTTTTAATCGAAAACACTCACCCTTTCAGATATATATCTAATTATAATTAGAAATTTTTCAGTAGAAAAATGATGGAAGCGAAGAAAACTGATTTGAAAACAAAATCTGAGACAGGGGGCCTAACAAACGCACACTGTTCGGCCGCGGCCTCCCATCGGCGGGAGTTCAAAATTAGGTTTTTATCGATAAATATTTCTCTCTTCGGAAAACGAATTCGACAGGAATTCTTGTAATTACTCGCATGGCTCTTTATTAAAGTTTGATTGAATAATGTTTATTCGACATGAATTATATTTCATTGGTTAGGAATCGATAGAATGAATGAACACATCAGTTTTCAGTACAGTTAAATGAAGGCCTGTGAAGAATACGCAAAAAGGAGTTTGGAATACAGTTGAAAACCAATTTGGAACATGAGAGAATAAATAGGAAGTGATGAAAAAAAAATAACATTATGCAAAAAAACGGGGTGGAAATTCGGCTTGCGAAAACAAATAAGCGATTGATTATAGGAGTAAAGCCATAAGAGAACTACTCGACTGGGGTTGGAAAAAATGGAAATTGTGTGGAAAAGAGACATATGAGAAGAGAAAAGTGTTTTGAAAATCCCTGCTTGAATTTGTACACTATTCAAAATCGGAAAAAGCGTACAAATTCGCGAAAACCGGTAAAAACATGGGGATCGGTGGTAAGGGGAAAATGCAGAAAAAATCAGGGTGATTAAAATATAATTAGCATTTTCGGAAGTGGAAAAATTGGGTAAACATTCGAAAATTCAAGGGGACTATTATGCAAGAAATAACATCAAACAGACGATTTGATTTTCGAATTATATGAAGAAAAATGGGAGGCAAAAAAGAAGGAGGTGACAAAATTACGCAACAATGTTTGTGACTTTTGTGGGGGATTTTTTGAATTTTTTTTGGGTTATCATATGAATTTGTTTTTTTTGGATGAGCTGACGAAAAGCTGAGACGAAAATTGCGGTATATCAACAATTAAGAAAAAAGGAAAACAGGTAAAAACTACTGGTCGAACGGGGATGGAGAAAAGTGTTTTGGATCACACTATTAGTGAAGGAAAACACTTTAAAATAGTGCAAAAAACTACTAGCGAAGGTGGTATTGAGAGAAAAAAAATTGAAAGAAAGAAGATTATAAAATATGAACAAAGAAAAGATACAGGAATGGAATTAATCGAGTGGTTTCTTCCATCCTTTCTTGGACAGGCACATTGCATTGTAGTTGCAAACGGCACGGGTGTAATGGAACATTGAAGCTTGGAAACGAGCCATAGCGATCATCATCACCACATGGATCTAGAATTAGTTTGAGTTTGTAGGATGTTCTTATCCTTTTTAAATTTTACCTTCTCAGAATCTTTGAATCCTGGAAGAGCCTTGGTGAATTCGGTGGTCAATTTGTGTGGGTAGCAGGCAGCCAACTTGATAAAAGTCTTTGTTCCTTTGTCGAGCACACGGTTGATCTTGGAATAGTCATAGTCATCGACACGAACTCCATAGAGTCCCTGGGTGTAATTCCAGACAGCCTCACGGAAAGCAGTGGTATCAATTTCGTTTTGATCGGCTGGGGATCCCTCGCCAGATGAGTTGGAAGCAGATGACCTGAAAATTAGAATGTCCTTATCCAATTGACTTAAAAATCTGTGCTTACATGTTTCCAGTGAGAGTACGAATATGATCAAACATGTGATCAAGACGAGAAGTCAAAGTGTCAGTGTATTCATTCATGGTATTGTAAACGTGATCCCATCCGAATTCCTCGACTCTGAATGGTGGAATGTCCTTTTCAGGACGCTTTCTGAAGTCGATGTATCCGAAAGTGCGATGGTGAGAATAGATTGGGTACTCGCATGGTGGTTCTTTCTCCAAAATATCATCTCCATTTTCATCGATATTGGCAAGAAGAAGGACTGGAGAGTAGCTCTTGCGGTTGGAACTGTAGGTGGCTGGTGGAGCATTGATCAAGGATTCAATGGTTTCAGTGGTCATTGCACACAACTTGGCAGCTGGTCTCTTCATTCCCTTCTCTGTCTTTTTCATCTCACTGATCATATACTCGACATTGGTTTCTGGACGATCGGCAACTTTTCGGAACAACTCAGATAGACGAGCCTCCCAGTAGTCGATATCGTCAATGTTGAGAAAGTCGATTTCTTCCTGAGTCAAATCAACACGACGTTCGAGTCCAATGCAGCAAACAACTGTGCACATTGCATGAGTCATTGACATTATTCCAATTGCATGGTGAAGAGAGCAAATTGAGAAAAACGCTGGACCACCGTCTGGAGAGCGACGAGTAATAAGAACTGCAAAGTTCTTCCAGTGAATCATCCATGGTCGATGGCAAATCATTCTGTTGAGATAATCCAGTTTTCGATATTTCATGTGTGCCCAATCCACACCAAGAAGCCAGTATGGATTGCCTCCCTTCTCCAGAAACTTCCGACGGTGATGATCGATCAAGGAGAGACATCTGTGGCGAGAAGCACCCATGACAGCGAGGTAATGACGAGATGGAGCTGGTAAATCACTGATATCCACGAACATATGACCATAGCTTCCAGTCATGTGAACATGAAGAGCTGGATGTTTACATGTGAAGCGGAAGAGACTGAAAATAAGTTCAACTCTCGAGTTTTTAAAAATTCTTTTCTTACCGATCAACTTCCGGAATTGGATCGAAATTGAGCCAGTCCACTGTCTTTCGTCTCTTATTCTGATCCCGTTTAGGATAGTTTTTGTTTGTATTGGTATTGGTTTTTAAGGTGCTCATTCTATAGATCTTATAAGAAGGCGAGTTGAGTATATATTGATGATCGCGACCCGTTTCTGAAAAAATGTATTATGAGAAGAAATTTGACAGTACGAAGAAAGAGAAAAATGAGCAAAAATAAGAAGAGAAGAAAAAGGGAAAAAGAGAAAAAAAAAAGTTTCATATATGCATTGGAAGAATAGCTAAACGAAATGAATCATCAAGACAGGAAGAGACAAAAATAGTATACTTTTCCGACCACGGTCGATCAGAAACCGCTTAATAGGAGGTGAAGAATAATGGGAGAGGAAATTGGAGGAAAAAAGTATCTTTAAGGCAAATCTTCGATCAGATTAACGTGTCGGAGGTTGTCATCACACAGCCAAAAAAAGAAAAGAGAAGAAGTTAGGGGGAATGATGAAGATCAAGCGAACCGATCTAGGCAAACCACCGAAATGGCGGGGCGCCGTCGAATCAGAAAGAGAACAAAAAGCGAAAAAGGAGAGATGATGAAAAGGGAGAGAAAATGATTGATGGAAGATGTGAAGAATCAGTATAGATGTCTGAGAATCTCAGAAGAAAAAAGGAGACTTGAATTAAAATTGAAGGTATACGGGCACTGCGTTTAGCATGAGAAGCCCAATTTGAAACATAATCAGAACTAAATAGAACGCTTTAAAAACTTTCGCGGCAAGTTGTATCAGGAAAAAACAACAAGCCCTGGCGGGCTTTCGCGGACCCTGCCATAGTTTCTTTCAGAATCAACATTTCCGGACCAACTAAATTAGACAAGATAGAACTTGACAAGTACTACAAATTGACATTATTTCGAAAGCTGTATATTGTTTATGGTCAAAGTTACAAGCCAAAAACCGTCTGAGGTACGCGGTCACAGCTTCAAGGCTTGAAACTTTGTTCATATACAAGGTACAGTTTTTCAAATGAATTTCTTTTGTAGTGCTTGTCTAATTCTATCATATCTAGATTGGTTTGTCCAAAAATACTGATTCTAAAAGAAACTATGGCCGAGCTCGTTTTTAAGTGTGATCCTGATCCAGCCAGTTCTCTTTTGGGCGTTTACCTTTTTCATGGTTGCAGTCAAACTCCTAAAATCATGCTAACATTATACATATTTTTGAAAAAAAAGCTCTTCATGAGCTCCATATGCCACACACAGATTTTCTGTAAACTGGGAAACAAATCCAAACGACCATCGGCCTAAGAAAACAAAAGGGTTCGTCTTCGTCGTCTCCTCCCCTCGAATCGCTGAGCATACACAGAGAGAATAAACGACTTGCCATAAATCAGTGTCCATCCTCTCCACATCAATGATGTGTCTGTCTCCGGAACGTTCCATCTTCCTCTTCTTCTTCTCCACCATCCCTTCTTCTTCTGTGTTCAAGAATCCCCTTCTGTGTTGCTCTATTCGAAACCGCAAACACTCACCAAACAGACCAATGTCCTTGTTTTTTTTTTCGATGTTTTCAAGCTTATGTGCTTCGCCCATTTTTCACATAAAACCGCAACCACTATCACAACTCGCCATCTTTCGGCGCGGCTCTTTGAGCAGTCGGAGCAACAAGACAAATTGTTGCGATTCCCAATATATATATATTCTAGAAGCAAGAAGCAAGAAGAAGTAAGAGTAACCTAGAAATCATCTGATCCTTCTTTTTCTTTTTTGCACTCTCTCACCCAGTATTGATGGATGGATGGATGGTGCAAAGTGAAAGACGAAGAGATAAAATAGAACGACGCCGTTTTTTTTCTACTCGTTCAGCTGTTTCTTCTGTTGTTCAAACATCGTCAGAATTGACACTAAAATACAAGATCAAAGTGTGGGACAAAGTATGTTTTTTCTCCTTCTGTAGAGTGTAAGAAACTGTATAGATCGAGAAACAAGATATTTTGAGACTTTTTAGTTTGACTTCTCTGCCCCACACTAAAGAGCTCTTCAGTTACAGTAACCCACCATTCATTTTTTATAGAAAGAGCAAACTCAAAGAGAACTCGGAGCAACACAACAAAACGTCTAAAAATTAAAAGAACAAGTGCGCGGATAGGTGATGATCTTTGAGTTAAAGCGAACACCACATATAAATGTTTGAATAAAAAAAAATTATCAAACTGTAAAACTAAAAGCGCGAAGCCAACCGAAAAAAATTTGCAGACAGTGAGACTCGCCTTCTCTTTGCACATCTTATCATCATCTAAACAAAAAAGTTATCACTAGAGAAGCAAAAAAAAAAGAGGAAAGTTCCAGTCGATTTATGACCAGCACCGCCAGTCTCGAAGGGGAAAATAAACAGTGAAGAGAGAGACAGAGATCATGCTCTATCGGTTTTTGGATGCTCTAAGAGAGACAGACTGTCTGTGTGATTCAAAAGGGAAAAATCGAACAGATAGATGATATGAGATCAAGAGAATTAGAGAAAGACACAAAACGAACACTTATTCCTTCTTCTTCTTCTTCTTCTGATGCTTATACTAAAGGCTGGCTGCTGTTGCTGCTTGCCCAATTCGCAAATAAACAACCGCCCCAATTTTCCGTTACTTTTCTCCTCACCGTCTCCTTCCCCTTCTATTGTTCTATTACGATATTAAATGGGAAAGAGGGAGAGAAAAGAAATGGGCGGAGCTTGAGAATGTGCAAAAACACAAACAAATGGGGGATACGGTAACATGATATTTCATCTAGATTATTTTTCTGCCTCTTCCGCTCCGATCGTTTCCCTTTTATATGGCACGGCCCCAATTGGTACAGTAATACCAACTGAACGAAATTGAAAAATTGAGAATAAAAGAGCTAATCATTCAGAGAAGAAAACATGCGAAACCAAGCTAGAGAATCTCAGAAAACTGACGAGAAAAGAGAAGGGAAAAGATAGAGACCAAAGTGTACCCGGTGCACGGAGAACCACCGATTGTAGAGGTCAGAAATGATCCAGAATAGAAAAAAGAACACGACAGGCAATAGGGGGCGGAGAATCGTGTTGATGACAGGTGAAAGTTGTTTTCCTAGTTAGTGATACGGTATACCAATGATTCTTAGCTGTGACTGGCACAGAGACACTCGAAAAGTAATTCTAGCTGGATGAGAGGGAAGGTTCCAGATATCGCGTTCTCTGTTTATTTGAGTCTCTCGTCAAAATGCAATGTTTTCAAGATATCACATTTCATCGTTCCAACCTTTTGCCCATATTCCGACAGAGTTAGAATTTCATCCGGTGAGAAAATCGAAGAAGAGAAAATTTTTGGCAAAGGGGAAAAAAGGTACTGGGCACATTGAATGCTTTGGGATGCCATGAAAAAAAGAGGAACTACAGTAAGATACATATAGGCTGGTCTCAATTGAAAAGCTAGGAATTTTCAGAGAATTCTGAGAATACAAATTTTTCAATCTAGATCTGTTTTATAACCTCCGAAAATTTCAAACTGATCGGACACAGGGCAGTCGAGCTCTCGACTCGTGCACATAGTCAAAATCAACTGAACAACACATTTTTGTATCTTATCGGCTGGTACTGTATGTAGCGAGCCCTAGCGCAGTTCGTAATTTTCCGATCGAACGCAAATTAATAAGATCCGATCGAACAAACTATGCTGTTACAGAAAATCGGAACTATGAAGCCGCCGGTGGCAGCGACCGAAGAACCCACAACGACAACTGCCGTAGTTCAAAAATTTCTGTTCTCAGTATTCTTTTCTCAATTCTCGCTCCAATTCTTTCACTATCAAAAATTTTCAATTAGCGAATTTTCTGAATGAAAACAGCAGAAAACCCAAACGTTGTCGTTTCCGATGTTCGTTTTTTTTTGAATTCTGAACTTCACAGCTTCTCAAGACGTTATGCATTTTTATAAAAAGTACCGTAGATTTAGAAAGACCTTAACCAAGAGTTACTCAAACGAAGAAAACATGGTCCCGACTGTGAATCTTTCGGGAATTTGACTCATTGTTTCTACCGTAATCCCTATATTGACCCAATTGGTAATTCTCTATTCTAATTTCAACAAAACACACACACAAATGGACAAAAAATAGATCTTTCAATCTTCATACTTGTATTCTCCTTGTTCTCTCTATTTTCTGTTCCTACACATTCAAAACAATCTCCATCTTCTTCGTTCTTCATTCTGCCTTCCTCCTATTCTCCACCGTTGTCTCCAATTTCCATTGCGTGTTGATGGATGAATTGAATTGAAATGACCTGCAACAAAAAAAAGTGAAATTGGTGGACTAGAGAGATGAAAGGGAGGAGGAAGGGAAGAAAAAACAGGTATTTCTAGATGAGAGGCAAAAAAAGAGAGAGACGAAAGTTCGGAATTGAGGAGGAGGATGAGCAATTATCATGGCATAAAGCAATTTTGTATTATTACAAATTTTTTTGAAAGAGGGAGTCAACTGGAAAGAACAGAGAAGGAGAAGTGAGAGTTTTTGGCAATATGAAAAATGGAAAAATGGCACGTTTTTTGTTCATTTCTCTGCTGGTTTATAGAGCAAAAGAGAGCCGAAAGAGAGCGAAAGCGGGTCCGTGGTCGAAACAATGATAAATCGGACAAACGGAAGAGAAAGGGGTCCGAAAAGAAAAGAAGAAAAAGGAGAAGAAGAAGAAGAAGAAGAAAAGGTTCAAAGATGAGCAAAGGGCAATGCGATGCGAACACTTTGGATCTTCGATTTTATCGATGAATTGGCATTTGGAACCAAAAGCTAGAGTCTAGGCGAAGAAAAACTAATTAGAATTTCTTCTTTTTCTTCCTCTCTCTTTAGAATTGAAAGTGCTTTCTAATTGAAGTTCGCAGACTGTCTGTCCACTCACTTATTAATCATTGCACTTTTCTAGTTTCTCAAGGAGAAGGAATTTGTGTTCTGAAGTTACTGCTACCCTTTCTAGCCAAAACCAAGTCATCTCGCACTAGATGAACCCAATACACAATTCTTATCTGAAAACCAATTTTATTTTCATTTTAATACCGTACCCATATTTTCTCATTTTTCTACTCTCTCTATTTCTGATTGACAGTTGGCTTGTTTTCCCCCTTTTCCTCTTCCATCTTGAATTTCTTCAAAAGGGGATTACAGTTACTTATTTCTCTTTACAGAGTTTGAAATTTGGGTACAAAGAACACAATGGCTCCATTTGAAAAAAAATCAGAGAGCAAACCATTTGAAAAAAGTTTCGAGTGGTTGAAAAAAGGAAGAGTAATTGAATGTATTTATATGGGTGGCACTATCTGGAACACTAATATTTGATTTTCTCTCCCATTTTTGGGCCTTTTTTTGGGTTGTGTTTGTAGAGTTGAGACAAAGTGTAAACAAATGGCAAGAAAATAAGGATGGAAACGGCAAGGAGTTTGTGGTTGGTAGGAAGGAAAAAATGGAAGAAGAAGAACGAAGATAGAACAAAAAAAGATAATCATCGAGGAAAAGGTTATGAAATTTTTGGAAATGGAGGATTACTGTAGAAGAGGGAACTCTGGGGATCCTAGTTTATGGCGCATTTTGCAGTTGGAAAATCAATCAAAAGAAAATAATTGAAGCTTATGAATATTGTAGATCAAATTCTAAACCATCTTGTAATAGGGAAATATTTTACAGGAAGCCTGCGCTTCACCGCACTGGTAAAATGGCACAGTTTTTTAGTGCTGGAAATCTAGTCCATGCGACTTTGGCCAGGGGCCGGCGGCCGTACTTGAATTTTAAAACAATTTACCGCTCGATTTTCTTCAA